TCTTTATCAATTAAAGAAACCTATTCTTGTTGTTTTTGACAGCTCGAGCACATTAACCATCCATAATGAACCAAGAAAATCTCATATTCCACAAGGTGGTGTCACACGAATTTCACATTTATGGATTGACAAGTCCTTTTGTAAGAAGACTTGAGAACACCATAATTGCAAATTTATGTGATAAGACACTTGAAATTTTGAACAGCTTCTATTCATGCTTTTTTAATTTTTTCTGTAATAATTGACAATCTTCTCCTATTTTTGCAATTTTTTCCACAAAATGCTGGATGCCGGGGCCTTCTTTTTGACCTAACCAATCTGCATCTCTCTTTATTTTATTATTATTTTTATTTTTTGCCTTGATGTTCTTTTCTCTAATGCATGTCTTGTTAACTTTTGCCACTACTGAAGTTTCTTTTCTTATTCGCTTTTTATTTTTTTATTTTTATTTTTTATCATTTCTTTTCTTATTAGCTAACAAAGGTGAGTATAAAAATAAATAAATAACAAAGGTGATGTTAATCTTACTCCCATTTGGTCAAGGGCATCTGAATCCAGAGTCCTTGGTTGTCACATCACATAAAATGGGGTTTAGTAGGATGATATATATATGTGTGTGTGTGTGTGTATAGATATATATATATATAATGTGTTTGAACTTGGTAGGATATTCTTTCCTTGTATCTCAATCTTTCCCAAATGTGTTGTTCTGATTTCAATTACCCAAACGGGTTGTTCAGATTTCCATTGTTTGGGTTTTTAAAGATCTGTGGTTGCATGGTCCAATCTAGTAAAGATGTTAGAATTACTTTTTGATCCTCAGGGGAAAAAAAAAAATTTAATTCCTTAACAAAATAAATAAATGTTTAGAATTATTTATGGTTTAAAATATTTGATGTGAGTGGAATTGTTGTGAAATAAATTCGGAGAATCAATCTGAAGTGGTGAATTGGATTTAGTTGCCCCTTTGTCATTTTTTTTGCTACAGATGCACTAATTGCCTTTGCATAATTGACCAATTAAAATAGTAAGTTTAGTAATTTATTGTAATTATTCGGTACAAGAATCATTTTCTTTTTAATTTTACCGGCATAAAACTAAAAATCAAACAACACACAAGTAAAAATAAAGTAAAAGATTTAGAAAGTAACACCATGTTTCTAGCGAGAAAACTCTAATTGATGAAAATCATCCAATTGCGGGGGAAAACCTTGGAGACTGTTATGCAGTCTCGATTAAAACAATTTGTTATAGGTGAAATAAAAGTACAATGTACTCTGACTCAGGCTCACACCCTTTTACTCTATTAAGAATCAATTGTTGAATGCATTCGGCTTTACGACACCCTAGTCCCAACGCACTTGACTTCGGGATTACTTACTTGACTCCTATACAAGGATTGCTAGTAGATTAACAAGCACTCCGCGAATGCTTTAGTAACCGGTATGATCTCTCCCTCATTTTCATCAAATCTGAATTTTTAAAGTTGAAAGACAAATCTGTTTTGGTGACTGGTAGCAATGAATCTTCGATTGCGAACAACTCCAATCAATAAGAGAAACACATCATAAATCACTCGTGTGTAGTATATATGTTTTCAAAGCGCGAAAAAAAAATATAAATAAATAAATCTTTGATAATCACTCAATGACTTCCTTAGGACTTTGGAAAACTTGACTGCAAAACCGTAATGATTTTGAGATAGTAAGGAATGCATATATAGGCATTTAGAGAGACCTAGAAACCCTTGGAAAATTTAGTAATTTTGTCCAAAAACTTCTCTCTAAACCCTGATAAAAAAGGTAATTGGATTTGTCTTTAAAAAAATTTCCTTTTTGGTTCGAGCAAATACAACTAATGAAGTGTAACCGGTTGTACTTTGTCTGAGAGTAAAAAGTACTTATATTTTGACTCTAAAATACCTAGTTCTCAATTAAAAAACTTAAGTTAAATATAACTTGTCCTCACTCTCTTACCTGTCTAAGTGTATTCTCGTTGACTACAGACTGACTGGGGTGGCAAAATGGGTCAGGACGCATCAACCCGCCCATATCCGCCTGCTTTTTAATGGCTATGGATGAATCATATTTAATTTGAGGGTCAAGATGGGTGGATAATTTTTAACCACTTAATTTGAGGGTTTGAATGTAATTCATATTCAACCCATATTTCACCCATCATATAATAAACACACAACACCCATCTATTCTATATTGCACTCAACTCATTTCTCTCTCTAAAATTCTCTCACTCACAATCCTCCCTCTCAAAATTTCTCTCTCATCAATCCCTTCTTTCTAGAAATTTCTTCTAAAAAAAAAAATAATAATTTTAAATAATAATTAAAAAAATAATTATAAAAAATTATAAAAAGTAAAAAATTTAAAAACTTTTTGAAAAAAATAATTTAAAAAGAAAAAAAAATTCAAAAAAAAATTTCAAAAAATTAAATAATAAAAAATGTTGATGGCTTTTTATCCTATTTATTTTATATAACTCCCCATGCATCAGCTTTCTTGATGGCTTGGATGAAAATCGAGGTGCTTAATTAAAGAAAGACAAAAAACTATTTTAACCTATTAAAGAAAGTTGAATGTACCTATTGCTTAAGTTTATAATTAATTTTTACCTGCCCGACCATGTCCCAGCAACTTTCTTTAATTTGTCTAACAAAGTTCACAGCAATATACTGTTAGTAAAACTTAAATTGTTCTGCTATAAGCAATTTTTATTTTAATCATATTTTTAATCCAAATAAGAATTGGTCAAAAGTTATTTTCCTCAATCTGCAATTCATATTTCTTAAGAGAAAAAAAAAAAAAAAAAAAAAAAAAAAAAAAAAAAAATCATGTTTTATAAAAAAAAAAATAATAAAAAAATAAAAAAAAAAAAACATTCATGAAGTTTAGTATGTGCACATGAATTTTTGATATTTGAAAATGTGTAAATTATTGTCTAATATTTGTTGACACTAAATTTTTTTTATAGAAACCTCAAAACACCCTTATAATCTCTCTCTTTTAGTGTTTTTCTATTTTTGTTCTGTTTTAAGGATATTTTAAATATTTCATTTGATATATTTACTTTAATTTATTGCTTTCATATATTAATATATACACATACAATAATTAGTTGATGGTTCGTATTCATAACTCCTATCTCTCCATTACTAAATTTTTATTATTTTTCTGAAAGTATAAAAAAAATTAAAATTTTAAATAATAAAAATAATAATTAATGGGTTCACGGGTCATAATAGGTTGACCCTGCCCATTTTCAAAACGGGTTAAATATGGGTCTTGACCCCATATTGACCTGCTCATTTTCAATTCAATCCAAACCTAGCTCAACTCGCCCATTTGCCACCCCTAAGGGTGAGTTAGCATTTGTTGTTCCGTTTTCAATCTCAGGACTCAAAACTAAAACAAAAATTACAACGAACTCATTTTGATACCAAAATATGCCAATTAAAAAAATTACATTTCCCATGTTATAGTCTGATACCAATGTTACCACTTTGATATTTAATTTGTTGGAGGTGAAATATAATTTTAATTATGGCTAGATGGGAAACACTACTAAAACTTTTGACACACATCCTTTATCTGGTTGGAAGGTTGGAAGGAAAGGAAGAGAGGGAGGAATCAACAAAGGATGAAGCATCTTTCTATCTGGTAAGCGTTAATATGGCACTATCAAACATAATTTGTTTGTTGAGTACTACCCAGTAATCTAGTAGATAGAGTGTCTAGCTTATCGAGCGGTTATACTCGTGTTCAAATCTCCTCTCTTAATTTGTCAGGATAAAATAAATAAATAAAAATTAAATAAATAAAATAAAAATTAAAAAATGTAACTAGTTTTTATTACTCATGATTATGTTCGTATCTTTTTTAAGAGTCCGATATTATTATACATTTTTAATAATTAACTAATTCGATTAATTTACATTGATATTCGTACGAATTCGTTATACTGTGCACTGTGATTGACACTATATTTATTTTAGGGCTGAATTCACACCTCAAAGAATGACATGGAGTTGACACGTGACAAAGATAAATTGATTCATAATTGAAGAGCTGACACGTGAGAATGAGAAATTGACTCATAATTGAAGCCCATATCAGACATGGGATTGCTTTTGTGTTTAATTACCATCATTTCCATACAGTTAGTGGAGATCGAAAGCAATGATCAAAAGGTAATAAACAATAAAATTTTACACAAAAAGTTACTAGTAAACAAGTTCCAACTATTAAATGGGCCATTAAATCATAAAGTGAACCACCTATAGCCTTCACGTGAGAATCCAATTTACATCCTCCCTACCTTTTGATAGACAATGGAGATGGAATAACTTTTACCTTTGGAGAAAGAAATATAGCAATGATGACATGGAGATACATAACTAAGTGGGTGAACACTCAAGTCCGGATCCTCTGGGATACACAGTATAGTGTTTTACTGTCTTAGATCGATTGTGATCGCGTACACCTATAGATAATCTACACGTGAGTGATTATAATTTATCAATTTGATAGATTGTATGATATTATATCAAATGGAACGATTATGACTAATCACTTGTGTATATACTTCAAAACTTGTAAACCATCACAATTGTCTAGTGCAGTAAAACACGGTGCTATTACCACACCAGATCCATTCATAAAATATAGATATTGGTCATATCCTCAAAAGTAAAGACCATCTTTTGCATTATTGTGAAACACTGAGCTGGTTGTGTGTACTTAACAAGACAAATAAAGCTAAATCTCATCATGATGAATTTGGGTCATTTCATGTAGTCAAAAATAATTCCATGAACTGCAATCATCAGCCCCTTAAGGATTTCCCTCCAATTCTTTCAAGATCTTAATAAGATAGATTGAGTTTGAAAATTCTGAACCATGCACCTTGTTGACAAACAGTTTACAGGTCCCACCCTAGACCCTCCCAGAACCCCAATTTCAGCCACTAATTCAGAAAATTAAAAAAAAAATAAAAAAAAAACCCCACATGAAACCAATTTGTCTACTATGTTGTTTTGCTCATAGAAAATAGCTTAAATAAAAAAGCCAACTTAATGCACCAGACTCTCCCGCCATCGCTGCAAGGTTTGGGAGGTTTTGATGTACACGGCTTTATCTCTCCGCAGGTGGAGAGGCTGTTTGTTTCCCAATTGATTTACCGAAACATGTCATGGTCCATCTGTCCATGCAGCAAAAACTGGCATATGAGGTATGGACATGGGAGGCCTCAGCTGGGCTGATGAGATCCAAGAACTCATACTATCTGTGGAGCTAGCTGGTGGAGGCATTGCAAAAGGCAGTGACAAGCTGTTGTTTTTCTCAGGGCTGCCTTCTCTTGAGCTGCTCAAGCTAGTCACTATCGAAGAAGTGTTCGACATGTGAGCCACCTCTGGCTGACCTGACCCCATTGTATGGATCCCAATCAGATCATGTGCAGCCATTGAGTACAACGGGCTCTTGTAACTCGAGTCAAGACCGTCTAGTTTCTGATCAGGTTGAGACGAATTGTAGAGGCTCATTTTCCAATCTGATTCAATCCCATTGCTCTCCTTTGGGAGAATGGCTTCCCCATTATGGTCATTAGCCAAAGGGTTGTGATTAGGGACCTCATTACTGGATTCTATGCCGGTGTTTCGCCTAGCCAGATCTCCGGCAAGAAGAGTGCTGCTTGCCATGATTCTATCCACGTCGTACCTTGTTATGTCAAAGTTTGTTACTGCATTCACCCCACGAAATTTTATTGCCGCCACATCATAGGCCTCAGCAGCCTCCTCTTGAGTGCCTGAAATTGCAGTTCAATGAGAACACATAACAACATTGATCACACATTCGATTATTGTCAAACACAAACACATAAAAAGGACTTAAAAAGCCCAACATTAGCCTTAAATTATGCAGTACAGTCAAAAAGATCAGTAAAGAACAGCCTTATTTATAAAAGCTTGGTCTTGCTGACAACTAGAAGTGCACAATCTCGAAGTGTCCCATGATCAACTTTTTTACCATCCTAGTGGCTGAAAAAGACAAGACTGCATGCCTTAAAGAGAAGCCTTTTTTCAAGATTAGAATTTGCATAACAGAAAATGCTGAAAAAATACAAACAAATTAATCAACTAAAAAAAAAAAATTAAGACAATTTTTTTTTCAAGATTCGAAGAACTCACTGAATGTCCCTAGATAAAGATCCTTGTTTCCTGCAACGCGGCCAATCCGAGCTTGCCATCTTCCATGTTGATGGTGTCTGCTAAAGATTAAAACAGAACAAAAATCTTATTCTAAACTTAAAGAGAGAGCAATGTGTATACAGCTATAGTTCATGTCAAAACAAGATTCGAAGACCTTGTTACGCCGCGGTAGATTGAAGCTCCCCTTGAGAAACCACTGCTTTTTCTGCAAAATGAGATTAATAAGATTGAAGTGTATCAAAGTAAATGGAAATGCAGTTCTTATACAGAGTATAACAGAGGCAAAAATTTACCTTCTCAAGTGAGCTACATATTCCTGTCTGGTCATGTTCTTCATTTCTTCTAGTTCTTGTTGGTAATTTTCCAACTGTGAAAACATTAACAAAGGTTCATACCAGTTTTTTACTCAAGAACTCATAGATAACTGTTTGCAATGATAATCCAATCATTACCGGGAAATTGGTATGCGTCGAAGGTCCCCAATACTTGAGTGCAGCTAAATCATAAGCTCTTGCAGCTTTTTCTTCCATATCATAACCCCCTGAGAATTAATAACTATGAATTATTTTATGACATAAAAAATAAAAATAAAAATTAACAGAATATATTCATTACTCTTTTTTTTTTTTTTTTTTGATAAGTAATATACTCATTACTTAATAATTTCTAAATTGGTAAAAATTGAAAATAAAGAAAAGAAAAGGCTTACCCAGATAAACTGAAAGCATTGATTTGATTGGAATGGCAAATCCAGAGCAAGCAAGATCAAGAAAATTTGATAACATGTACACCATTAGTGAGGCCAAAAAAAAAAAAAGGACCAAAAATTGTAGTGTAAGGCATAATGTAGAATGAACTGTGTTTTCACACTAACCTTGCCTTCCTTTCCTGCTTTGACCTTCTTTCTTGCAACTATTGTCCCATAGATGAGCTTCATATCTACCAGTCCATCTATGCCTGATGGTCATTGACCCATAAATGAGACCATAAAACAGGCACAAAAAAAAAAATTTATTTAATTAGCAAAATATTGATAATAAAAAATAAGAAAATCACTGGCAGAGAAAATAATAAAATATATGAAAATACCAGGAAATTATAATATCTGTTGCGTGAAGAAAGGTAAGATTTTTAATAAACAATAACATGCCCCATTATAGGAAGCACAATGGTAACTAAGGGTCTGTTTGGCAATTAAAACCCCAAGTGTCTGTTTTCATCCAAAACAATGTTTTTGCTGTCGAGTGTGTTCAAACATGAAGCAAACGATACCAAACACCTTTTCGTGTTTTGCTTCCCTAGAGTACACTAAAAAAATGCTTGCCAAACAGGGACTAAATAGGTAAAGCACTAACCTTGTAACACCTCTGTATTGTGAGGTTCTCTGCCCAAATGTATCAATGGACTTCCTGTGAACAATTTGCTTCTGATCCACTTTTTCAGACCCTCTTTTCTTGGCTTCCATGGCTACACACCCAGTCACAGTAGGTGAGACTTGGTGCGAACCAGTAACACAGCTTGAATGAGAACCAGGGCTCATGGACAAGCTCAGAGAATGCAAATCCCCATAACCCAATGCACCAACAGACCTAGATTCACCACCATTGTCACCCACAAAACCAACCATCTTCTGCTCCAACGCAAGACCAGTTGGGTAGTTCCTCGAGATCCAGTTCTTCATGCCAGAGATTTCATCAGCCGACATTGTTGGGAGCTGGAGATTTTGGGCTTCTTTAGCCTCGCCCTCTAGCGGCGGTGTTTGGTACACCTCATGGCCTCTAAATGCCGAATAATTCGAGTATTGTTGCACTTGAATCTGCTGCTGCTGTTGTTGCTGGTGGTGTTGTTGCCTAGAGTTTTGTTGGAGATGGTGTAGCAAATCTTGACTGGTACTGTTTGTTTCATGATCTGGGTTTTGATGGTGGTGGTAGTACATGCTGTCTAAGCTCAGAGCCATTGCTTCTCTGTCACTGCTTTCATATTCATGGGTCCCCATTGTTGCACCACCAAAGAAGTCCTCCAGCTTTGGAGCACTTGAAGTTGTTATCATCCCTTCACAGTAAAAAAATCAAGGGAAAATTACCACAACTATTCCAAAAATTGCATATCCTATTATTACCACCAAACAGTAAAAATTAAAAAATTAAAAAATAAAAAAAATCCCTAAAGGTTAGAAATAAGGAGCAAAGATCAAGCTAACCTAGTTGTTGTGACCATGTTCATTCCTAGCTTGCATATCATCATATTATTTTCAACCAGTGAAAAAATAATAATAATAAATTAAAATCCCGAAAAGGGTAGAAATAGTGAGCACATTTTTAAGCTAACGTAGTGGGTTGTGACCATATTTATTTCTGACAAGTGGTAAAAAATAATAATAAAGAAAATACCGAAAAGGGTAGAAATAGTGAGGAAAGTATGAGCAAACCTAGTGGTGGTTGTGACCTGGTGAGAGCTTCCATAATGCAGAGGGAGCCATCAGACTTGAGAGGCATGACTGTCAAAGGAGAGCCATAGACACCACCATTTTGATGATCACCATAGTAGCTGAAATGAGGTGAGGAATGGAAAAAGCTTGGTGGGACTACTGAACCAGAAACAGCGTTAGATGGATGATGGTGATGATGATGAGTTTGATGGGGGTCTAGAGGAAGCTCTTTGTTGTTCATGTCATGAGGAGAGAGAGAAAAGCCCAACCAGTTACTACCACTACTATTGCTATTGCTGTTGTTGGTATCATCATCATTACTCATGGACTTCATGTTCTCTCCCTCTATGAATCTCCTCTCTCTCTCACTTACAAGGTTTTTTTTTTTTTTTTTCTCCCTTGGTTGGTGCTAGGCAAGCTCAATCATTGGGCAACAAGTAAACTAATCATATATCCCAAAAATTTCATTCCTATGCTTCACTCCATTTGAAAGGAAGTGTTTTGTTTTTTAGCTGCAGAACTCATTGGAAGAAACACTAACCAAGCTAGCTCTTTATTTAAAACTAATCACACACACACACACACTCAATTTTTTTCTAAAAATAACAAAGCAAGTCTCTTTAAAATAAAGAAAGGAACGAGTTATGGATTTATGGGTAATTTTTTCCTGCACACCATGGGGATCTGTGTTCAAGAAAGACCTCTTCTTTTGCTTTTCCTACGCGCTCCTCCTCTCTCTGCCTTCTCTTTCTTTTCTCTTTTCCCTTTCAAACGTATATATAGATAGATAGATGGATATATATACACACATATATAAATATAGAGATATAGTAGAATTTATGTGCATAGTGGTAAGTATATTCCTTCGTACCCTTGTCTTAAATTAAACTAGGACTAAAAACATAGATGCAATACAGAGATCAAAACAGGAAGCAAGATAAAAGAGAGATCCTCGATGACTGCTCAACACCCAGGAAATATCCTGTTATCAATGTGCCAAACATCTCTCTTGAAATTTACGCCGTATGGTATAAGGGAAACAAAGATAATGTATTTAATTTTCCACCGTGTTTGGATTGATTAAAAAAATAAAATTTGTTTTGTTTATTAACAAGGTCAAAATTTATAAACATTAATCTAAATGATATAATCTATACTTTATACATTAAAATGGAATTTCTCTTTTATATGAACAAAACACATAATTGAACACCAACTCTCCTATTATTTTCTACGTGGTAGTTCACTTTTGGAAGGATAAAGTCCTTGTCAAAGTATTCGTAATCCCCAAATTCTTTCATTTCTATCCACTTTCTCAAAACAAATACAATATATAATTTTTTTTATCCTGAATTGTTTCTTTTTTTTCCCTACATTTTTTTTTTTCTATTTCTTTTCTCTACTGATCTCGAGTTTAGACGAATTCATGGTCACTAAAACAAAGACAGAGTTTAACTTTCATTTTCATTGAGACAAACTAACCCATGAGGGTTACTGGTGGGTTTATTGGATATGGTAAGGGTAGGATGGGCATTTTAATATGAAATGGTAAATAGTAAGCATCATGATCTAATGAGATTTTACTTTTTCCGATTTAGAGGAAGTTATTAAAAGGAAGGATAGATATGGATGTAGTAGTAGATAGATTTCACGGGTCAGATGAGAAACTGTACATCTAGTCACTTCACAGGCAGTGACATAGACTACTGTACTGGACCTACTTAATTTTGCAATTCTTGAGTAGGGTATCTACCCTCCTCCATACAGGGCTACTGCTGGAAAGTCTGTCGACAGGACTACACGACGCCGTTCCGAAACTGCATACCAGCCAGACAGACAATTCAATCCTATTGCCTAGGCAGCTGTTATGACAATCTTTGACTGGAGATGCCTTTCTTAAACAAAAGCACAAAAAAAAAAAAACTTGAATAATATCATCTTACCAAAATACCCTCATAGTATTATAATATAAATTTTAATTGAAAACCTTTTTTTAAATAAAAAAAAATTAAAAAAAAAATCAAATTTGTGGTGATCTTGTGAACGGGTGTGTGTGAGCGTGTGCAGGTGATACTAATATGCTACCACACTAGGTGAGCCATACAGGTGCACTGAGTTAGCTACCGGTGTACAATCCTACATTGCCTAGGTATGAAAAAAATAAGTGTTATATATAAATTCAACACTCTTATACGACATAACGCATTTTAAAGCCGGCCATAATTTTACTAAAACTCCGACATTATGGTCTCTGATCTTGAATTCGAAAGAACCAAAAACAAAGTCGTTACAAAATTAATGAAGGAGAATATGTAGCTCTCTACAAAAAAATATAGTAACTTACTTCATTTGAATTTTTCTAAAAAGAAAGTAATACAATTACATTTTACATGCAAAGTGTTAGTACCTTTGAAATAATTGTGTAGTAATATTGACTTTTTGTCTTTAAAGATTATGCTATGGCAAATAAACTGTTCAAGACGTAATTAAAAAATCAATAAAACCTTATTTTCATACTAAAAATTTGGGAAATAATTTTATTAAAATTAGGAGATTACAAATTTTGGAGTCTGAACTTTTTGTATGAAAGGATATTAATTCCTTAGTAAAATATCTCAATCAAAGATATTATGTTTCCGTCGTCTTAGTCACCTCTAATCATGCAACGGAATGAATAAGTGTTGCTTGTTATTTTAAATGAATCAAAGTACTTTTTGTGTTAATTATGAAGAGCGATAATGCTCTAGAAAGATAATTGTGTCAATTTTTTCATTAATAAAGGAGTTCAAGTGTATAAAGGTGGAATGTGATTGACTTCCATAGTTGTGCAGTAAATCCTTATTTACGTTTTTCTATTTTTTTTTTATGGTAAAGAAACTCTCCTCAACTTATCTAGGGGAATTATTTTTTAAATTTTTGCCTAAAACACCCCCACCAACCAAGTCAATGCGGTTTTATGCAATTTGCTCAATTATGTGAGTTTAGTTGACAGTTTTTTTTTTTCTTTTCTTTTTTTGAATAATAATATTAGAACTCATTTTTTTCATTGCATGATCTCCATAGTTTGAAATAAAATAAAAAAAATTAAAAAAAATTATATTTATAGTTATGAGTGTAATTAAATGCTATTTCTTTAGCATGTGTTTAGCATAGTTACATCATATAATTTTTTTTTTCATTTTTCTATTAAAAAAAATAGAAAAAAACCTACTATTTTATGACATTTGTAGGAGTTCTTTTTTAATAATACAATAAACAAGTGTATAAAGGTGATATCAATGATGCAAATGTGAAGAAAACAAAGAAGATCCTCGATAGAGGTAAGGCAAATATACAGTATTTATGACAGCTTTTTCTGGCTTGGCATTTTTTCATGCGATAGTGCCATTTATAAGCCTGGATTATACTGGTTATTAACCAGCAATCCCTCACGTGTCTGACTCTTAACCATGATCACATGGGTAGTCCTGATGAGTCTAAGAGCCTAAGAAGTCCAATCCTCTCATCGAACCGTGTATTATAGTGCGTTTCCCCCATTTGGGGCATTAAATGCTTTTTGTTTTTGCTTGGCAGTCGGTTAGCCAAACTTTTGATAGCATAAAATGTGATTTTATGGTTTGCTGTCATAATGTACATATTTCCATCATCTCGTTGATCGGCCCTCGCTGGGAGCAGATACGCTTCTTTACTTCTTATCCACCAGCCCAAGATCCTTCTAAGTTTCCTAAGGTGAAGTCCTTTGTAGCTGCGAAGGCCCTACCTTCGTTTCGTGCTATGTTTGCACCTGTGTAGCAGTTTGTAAGCGAGCTTTCTAGGGCTCTAATGTCTCAAGGCATTGCAAGGCTCGAAAGAGCGTGAGCTTCTAGATCTTAGCAACTTGGTATGTTGCTAGGGTTTGGAATGCTCGAGGCTTGAGCTCTTAAGGCTTATTGGCCTGGTACGATGTCAGGGCTTGAGTTGCTCAAAGATTGGCTCATCGGGGCTTGTTGACTTGGTGCGCTGCCAGGGTTTGAGTCACTCGAGGGTTAATTCCTCAAGGCTTGTTGACTTAATGCGCTGCCAGGGTTTGAGTCACTCGAGGGTTGATTCATCAAGGCTTGTTGACCTAGTGCGCTACTAGGGTTTCAGTCGCTCGAGGGTTGATTCATAGAGGCTTGTTGACCTGGTGTGCTGCCAGGGTTTGAGTCGCTCGAGGGTTGATTCCTAGAGGCTTGCTGACCTGGTGCGCTACCAGGGTTTGAGGTGCTTGAAGGTTGGGTCCTCGAGGCTTGGTAGCCTGATGCGATGCTAAGACTTGAAGTGCTCAAAGGTTAAGTCTTCGAGACTTGGTGGCCTGATGTAATGTTAGGGCTTGTGTTACTCAAGGGCTAAGCTCTCAAAGCTTGATAGCCTGATGTAATGTCAGGGCTTGTGGTGCTCGAAGGCTAAACTCTCGAGGCTTGATAGCCTGATGAGATATCAGGGCTTACAGTGCTCGAAAGATTGAGCCTTCAAAACTTAGTGTAATTTTGACTTTTCAACTTGCCAGAAGTCCTGGTTAGAGGGTTATGTTGACTTGTCAACATGCCATGTCAGCGATTGGTTGTTAACATCCACAACATTCAATTGCTTTTTGTAATTAAAGTTCTTTTTTGTCGATCTAATTTTTTTATTTTTTATCAAATGTCCATCTCATATACTATGTACTTTATCTATATATATATATATATATACAAATTAAATAAAATAAAAAATATAGTATAAATAATATAATAATATATAATATGAGTAAACATAAAAGATTTGAACTTGTATATAATTGCACTCATAACTTTAAATTTTACTGTTAAGTTTTTTTATACTTCTCTTTAATTAAAAGTATGGTGATTGGATGTGACAAAAAATATAAGTTGAAATATTATTATACGAGAAAGGAAAAATAAAAAAAAGAACTTTTAACTAAATTCACCAAATTGGGCAAATTACATAAACCCCCTCCTGACTTGGTTAGTGGGGGTATTTTGGGTAAAAATTTAAAAAGCAACCCGCATCGGTTATTTGAGGGAGGGAGGGGGTTGGTAAAAATGAAAATTAGTAAAAGCGAGTTTATTACAAAACGGTAAAAGTCAGGGGGGGTAAAAATGAAAATTAGTAAAACGAGTTTATTACAAAACGGTAAAAGTCAGGGGGGGTAAAAATGAAAATTAGTAAAATGGTAAAAGTCAGGGGGGGTCGGGGGGTAAAAATGAAAATTAGTACAAGGGAGTTTATTACAAAACGGCAAAAGTCAAGAGGGTTAAGTGTACTTTACCCTTTTTATTATGCCAATTTAGAATATTTGTTCTATTGGTACCTTATGGTAGTACTGGTTCGGAGTTGTGAAGGGAAAAAAAAAGTTAGTTATCTTCCCACAAAATAATGCTGATGAATTTGATGTTGTCATTCAAAGGGATAATCATGCAACCAAGAAAGAACTCAAAGATAGTTTTATTTTATTTTATTTTTGAAAAATTAAAATAAACATATACCCATTATTTTTAAGAATTCAAAGATAGTTTTATTTTATTTTATTTTTGAAAAATTAAAATAAACATACACTGATTATTTTTGAAAAATTAGGGTCAGCTTATTTTGTAGAATTGAAAATAGAAAACTCTAATAGTGTATTAAAACTATACTTGGTTTAATTTTGTGAT